AGGAATTGAAGGATTTGCTAACGTATACAACTCAATAGCTTCAAAAATTAAAGCTCCTGCAATATGCCTACAACATAGTTCTATTAATCTTCCTGAATCTGCTCACTCTGTAGTACACTCAGCCACTGATCTTCTACCTGTATGTAGTCAAATAGAAATTTTTACATCTAGAAATGAAATTATAAGTTTTATGGTGTTTACAAGCAATATTAATTACAAAAATCCTATATTTTGTAGCATATTTTATCAAAACTAACAGATTCTACAGAATTTGTAATTGGCGCATATTCATATGGATCTCTTATTGCTATTGAAATGGTAAAACAATTAGAAGCTAAAAACTTTCGAGGGCGATTAGTATTAATCGACGGAGCTCCCAAGTACTTAAAAATCTTACAGAAAACATTTTTCCCTTTTACCAATAATCAAGAATTTCAACTTATTGTGTTAAAACAAATAATGGATGTGTTTAATATACCTGTATCAGAAATGGTATGTAATGTATAATATTACACATACATGTGTGAACGACAAACATACATATTATACAATATATCATATACACATACATACATATATATATATGTATATCGATGACACATTAAAACTATGGCAAATAGAAACATATTCTATACGTTTAACAGTACTAACAGTTGTTTAATATTTGTTTCAGATTATATCAGACATGAGTAAATATGTTACCTGGGAAGAAAAACTAAATATTTTAATCAAAAATAAGTCTGAAATAACCAATACAATTTCTACTGATTCTATTAAAATATTTTGTACAACAATTTACAAACATTTNATTGCTATTCGAGAATATGATATGTCTTCATTGGTTTCAATCCGGTCACCTATAATATTATTGAAAGCAACAAATTCATTACTTCCTTCGGTAGAAGAAGATTTCGATCTAAATAAGGTAATGTAGCAAATATTCCACTTTTCTTATGTAATATATATTTTTGTCCTACCTTATATATTTTTATATAACAGATGTGTTTTTGTCGCAGATAAGCAAAAACGTACAAATTCACTACGTAGATAGCAATCATATATCAATAATTAACACTGAACTGGTTGCAGCTGCTATTAATGGACAAATAAAACAAGAGCAATAAATAGTTTGTCGTCGAGAAAAATAACAAGAGACTCTAAAAGCATTAACACGTTCACGGCGGCGTGACCCACCGGTGGGTCACACCTGACTGTTCCGTGGGGCGGCGTGACCCACCGGTGGGTCACACCTGACTGTTCCGTGGGGCGGTGTGACCCACCGGTGGGTCACGCCGCCCCACGGAACAGTGTTGCCCCGCCCCACGAAGCGTAAGGAGATAAGACGGTCCCGCCTCACGCGAAAAAACGTAGATTTTCGCCCCGTCGTGAACGTGTTAAGTAATTTGCTGTCACTTTAGCAAAAACAAACAATTATCTGGAAAAGATATGCAAAATTTCTGGAAGAGTGCGTAATTTAAAAAAAATTTATATAACATGTGTCTTAATATACATGAATCTAATAAATTACTATTTAGTGGAAACTATGACTCTACTAATCTCAACATTATTGTAACAATATCAAAATTGATTTAATTTAACTTTGCGGACTCAAGCATTTACAAAATAGGTAAATCTTTTAAAAACAGACAGTTGTTTTCAGGAAATTTTTTTTGTTTTTTGTACAGTAACAGCAAATTATTATTATTGCTTTTTCCTTAATGTTGTTTTGAACACACACTATGGGTTGTGAGTTGTGACTAAAAAATACGGATTGTGATTAAACAAACTACTTTTTGGAAATCAAAATAAAATGGATTTTGAAGAGAAATTTACATATATTGATTTTCTAAAGATGCATCTCAACATACATTACTATTTACAAAAGAATTACCAAGAAATTACAAAGAATCAAATTTTAAAATTTATTAAATCATTACTTTTAAAATTAATGTCTTTGATAAAGCCAGTATATATTCGATTCTTAACATATATATAATACTCCTATATTGCTAGTCGCGTATCTTTGCAATGAGAGGCACGAGACCCGAGAAAGAGAGACGCACGAAGTCCAAATATGGGCATAGATAATCGAGCGTCATTATGCGCAGGCGCGTCTACTAAGCGAGTGCAAGCGAAACAAAGAATTGGAAAGTGAGAGAAAGAACGCGAGAAAGAGAAATGCGCAAGCGTGCTTGAATGTTCACCGCATGCGCACAAAGCAGCTGGACCTTGCGCGAGAGAGAGGCTACTATATTGTCTGCACCGTAACATTAGCCACGTTCAGCAGACTGAGCAGATCAGTGATCTAGTGATTCTTTAATATGATTGAATCTTGCCTTTAGATCTTCATAGGATCTAAGTGTAGAAACCAATCATATTGAAAAATCACTAAGTGCTTACTGATCTGCTCAGTCTGCTGAACATGGTCATTTGGGCTTCAGGTCGGCACCGTACAGACGGCGTCAAAAATTCGCGTAGTTGGCGCGGCGATCGGAGGGCAAGCGGGGCGGTTGCTCGTAGCGCCAGCGAGCGCCGTACGAACTAAATAGTAGCAATTGGTTGTTTGCAACTACGTCGTGTCGATAATGTAACTATTCTTCTTTTCAATTTTCTTCTCAAAACGTATTGGTCATTTAAATATCTAAATATCTAACGTTAACAAATAACATGAATGTGTATATATGTGTATAATAAATAAACCAGGCCTTACTCTTAGGCCTGGTTTATGCGAGCAATAACTGTTAACTTATGCCGGAACCGGTAAAGTTTAACTATATGATTTTAATACTTCTGTTTATACAAAATTGCCGTATAAACAGAAGTATTGGAATCCTATAGTTAAACTCTACCGGTTCCAGCATAAGTTTACAGTTATTGCCCGCATAAACCAGTCCTTACGACCTTATGACTACGGCGTCGTCTACAATAAAGAGCCGTCTACAATGGAGAGTTGTAGGCCGTAACAGTAAGAAATTGACAAATCACAATCGATTATTCTTCTGTACTTTGTCTGTGATTGGTCAATTTCTTACTATTACGGCCTACAACTCTCCATTGTGTAGACGGCTTTTAAGAATTTAAGACTTAGGCCTGATTTATGCGGGCAATAACTGTTAACTTATGCCGGAACTGGTAGAGTTTAACTATAGGATTCCAATACTTCTGTTTATACGCATTCGGCAATTTCGTATAAACAGAAGCATTGAAATCCTATAGTTAAACTTTACCGGTTCCGGCATAAGTTAACAGTTATTGCTCGCATAAAGGGTCGTCTACAATGGAGAGTTTTAGGCCGCAACAGTAAGAAATTGACCAATCACAATCGATTATTCTTCTGTACTTTGTCTGTGATTGGTCAATTTCTTACTATTACGGCCTACAACTCTCCATTGTAGACGGCCCTTAAACCAGGCCTTAAGACTTAAGCTTTAAGAAGGTATAAGACCCGTTTTCACCATCTCCGATTAACTTAATCGGTCGATTATTCCGTTGGAATCGCCAATCATATTGGTCGATTGACTAAATTGACCAATCGCAATTGACTTGCAATCGATCGGTAAGTTCATCGTAGATAGTGGAAACGAGCCTTGTACCTTCTTAAAGCTTAAGTTTTACGCCTTAAATTCTTATTGTAGACGACGCCTACGGCTGCGTTCCGAGTTACGCATATGCGCTCATTTATCTATAGTACACGTGACATATAGTATAGACATATGCGTAACTCGGAACGCAGCCTACGTCTAAACTTTTGCCACATGTGGCAATGGCCTTAACCATCAGTCCGTCCTTATTGCTCTTGAAACGTAGAACAAAGACAGACTGACGCTCAAAAAGCGCAAGCGTCCAAAGTGAACGCACCTATATACAATTGGAGCTTTCCAGCTACATACACAGGCGACACTGTGTAACACCAGAGAGAAACCTGAGAGCGGCCATCCTAATGTAATTTTTTACGACGGTTTCAGCCGCTGGTTTTAGCCGTATTTCCACAAAAGTGGAACTCAAAGGCCGTTCTACATTAAACGCAAGTAGCAGATCTCGTGGAATTGACCAATTGCAGAGTCAAATCAGCCAATCGACCAACGTGATTGATCAGTTCCACGAGACCTGCGACTTGCGTTTAATGTAGAACGGCCTTTGAGTTCCACTTTTGTGGAAATACGGCTAAAACCAGCGGCTGAAACCGTCGTAAAAAATTACAATAGGATGGCCGCTCTCAGGTTTCTCTCTGGTAACACTAATGTCCATTAGTGTGTGAGAAAGAGCATATCAGTGTGTGTCTCACTCTCACTAGTGTACACTGTGTTGCACAGGCTGCGGTCCGTTTTATGCTTAAGCGCACATTTATCTATAGTATACGTGACATATACTACAGATAAATGCGCGATTAAGCATGAAACGGACCGCAGCCACAGTGTCGGCTGTGTACGTAGCTGAAAAGCTCCCAATAATTACCCCACACTGTAGTCTCTCATGTTATTCTCTTTACCGTAGTGCTTGCATCATCCGCAGCGCTCTCCCCCCTCTCCTACGATATATTATTAAAAGTCGAGAGCGGTGATACGTACGATGCGTGGTCCGGATAGAGCGTATCTCTTCTGTGCCCGTTGCCACCTTTCATCCGCGCTGCTGCTGTTACGAGAGCGCGAGAAACACCCGAAGCGTGGATTATGAGCGCGTGTCGTCGCACGACAACAATCCGATTCGCACAATCCCGACGATTTTGTGATCGTTGCCCTTCTCGTGGTTCAACGCCGGGAGCCACGAGAATGACTTAGGTCAGTTTCTTGCCGAATGATTTGCCGATTAAGGAACTTTTATTCGGGACACGCGATGCGGAACTTACGTTGGGCATGCTGGCTGTTTTGGGTGGGTCTACCAATACTCAGAGCCTACCCTATCACTTCGTCGCCGCTTGTCACAGGTAGATCGCTCGTGAATTTTTTTCTCGCGTCGAAGGGCTGTTTAGCTGTGTATAAATGTCGCTCGTGTTTTAACAGATTTTCCATCTTTTCTTCAATCTATTATCTATATATATATATATATATATATATATATATGTAGATATATATGTCTGTGACATTTAACTTGTTTCTCTGTATTGTTTTCTTTCTTCATAAAATTGAAAGAAATAGAAAAATAATTGATTGACATCAACAGAGATATTTATAACAACACAGCTCTCTGAGTTATTATTGGAACAAGTGTTTACTTTTATTATCCTAACAGATTCATCCAATAATCGAGCTTCCTGGCAATGGGAGCGCTATTGGATGCGTTATGCGATTGCTATGTCAAGTGTCACTGCCACAGCATTAACATTAGCGGGATGTCTTTGTTGTCAGAGGCACCGAAGACCCAAAGGATTTCAGGTAACTTGAAAAGATCTCTACGCATCTGAGTAAACTGTGTATAGAAAATATCATATCACTTAATAGCTCTTTCTCTAAACCAATCTCTGCATTTTCTTTTAATTATAGGAAAAAGCAGAAAAATGTGATCAGGTAACATTGATGTTTTAGGTTTTTTATATCTAGTCATGGAAATTTATCAGTTTTTTAACTGAAAATGTAGACAAAACACATTACACAAACAAATTACTGGTTAGCTATTTGCAAGCCTGAGAGACTATTTTTGCGGAAGTAATAATTTATACATTTATGTACATATTTTATATTTTAATGAGTTTTTATAAAACTGAAGTAAAATAGTTGAAATAACCAATGCTATGTGTTTTGACATGACTTAATATATAATCTATTGCATAAAGCTAGTTTCTAAACTACTTTGTCATAAGTAATAATGTTTAAAGATAGTTTGTATATCTATATTTATTTTGTTTTAATTATAATATAGACATGTTCTTCTTGAGTTTTTTTTTAATTCCTCTTACACACAATAACAAGTAGCATGTGTAGTATAATTGTAATAAAATTTTCTTTTTACATTATAAACAACAATGTAAAAATACATAAAAAAAAAGAAGAATATTCTTGTTATTATTATAGGAATTTAAGGATGGGAGCAGTATAGGACAGGAAAGTGGATTTGATCGATCTGTTGAAGGATTAGAATTGGACGCCTCTAGAACATTAGCTGCTGCAGAAAGAGTTCAATTTGAACCTTTACCCGTGGACTCCATTGTCTCCGGAACGCGAAATACCACAAAGCCTAAAGCAATACCTTTGTCAACCCCTCGTAATGAGGATCAAGATTTGGATTGCGCTATTCTTCAAGAACCATGTAGCGAATGGTTCAACTCGAATGAGCTTTACGTGCCGCGAGAGAAACTCAAATATCTCCGAGAACTAGGTCATGGATGGTTCGGTAAAGTCGTTGAAGGTCGGGCAGATTTGGCACAATCCAAAGACATATCGAAAACGGGTGGTGTGGTTGTGAGAATTCTCACCGAGGAAGCCACCACCAAAGAAAAGGCTTGGTTTCTTGGTGAAGCCACGCCTTATCTGAAATTACGCCATCAAAATGTCTTGTCTTTACTTGGCTTCTGCTTGGAAACAGATCCGTATCTTTTGCTCTTTGAATCGTGTCCAGCCGGTGATCTTAAAGGATTTTTGTTATCAAATCGCGATGTTAAATCAAGAGAAGCGCTTACGAGAGAAAATATTCCGATAAGAATTGCAATTGAGATTGCAGCTGGCTTAAAACACATGCATAGTCACGGTTTTGCGCATACGGATCTTTCCGCGAGAAATTGCTTAATCGCTCCGGACTTATCGGCCAAATTGGGAGATTATGGTACTGGTGTCGAAAAGTATCCCGAAGATTATTACATAGTTGGAGACCGAGCTTTACCTATTAGATGGTCTGCGCCAGAAAGTTTGAATTGCACGGATACCACCATCGAAACCCAAGAGATCACGCAAGAAGCAAACATGTGGAGTTACGCCGTCCTTCTTTGGGAAATTATTTGTTGGGGAGAAAGGCCTTACAACGACATGAACGACGAACAAGTTATTCAAATGATATTATCTTTGAAAAATCAATGTTTGCCGAACGGTACACGATCGTTGCAAAGCTATCTCGCTAATTGTCCGTCAAATATATGTCAAGTAATGCGTTTGTGTTTAAATGTCAGTGCGAAAGACAGACCTTCTTTGGATATTGTCAAACAGATTCTGTTGAACGAAGAACATTTGGCAAATGAGGATTTCGATCAACGGTGGGAAAGTTTACGTTCGAATAGTGGCAAACAGCATGTAAGAAGTGCCAGCTTGCAAGATTTACGCGGAAGCATCGATTCCGATTACTGGACTCATATTGTGGACGACGCTCAACTAACGGACACGTTACAGTCCTCGTTTCGTTTAGGACCCGACGAACAAGTGAAGAATATTCCCAGTGTGAGATCTACTGCAGTTTTTCAAGAATCCGGCTCGGAGACCGAAGAAGAAAGCTGGAAAGGTCGGATCGAACAAGGCGTTTACACAGAAAAGGTTAAACAGAAGTCTAAATCCGTAACGGATCTCATGGTACTTGTACATATCGATCCCGATTCCGACGTGGAATGGTCAATGGGAGCTCAAACAACGGAAAAAAACCCGAAAAAGAAATTACCCGCGACCGGTAGCGACAGTGATCTTAGACATACCGCTTCACCGGATGAATTTGACGAAGCGTTGAAAAAGTTGCGCGATTCATTGCAAAATAATAATACCAATAAAGTCAAGTCGATGGGAAACTTACCAGACGTACCGAAACTTTTAACTCTAACCGTGGATCAGAGTCAAACGCCGATTCTGCGATTGTCTTTGGATAATACGGAAAAAATGTTAGAAAGTGACGCGCTATCCAACGTAAACGCGGATGATGATGACGCGCGGTGTAGCGGTAACGAACATGTATTAGAAGAAAATCGTTCTCTCTCTCCTCTTCTTCGCTACGTACCTGATCGAATGTTGTCTATTGATGAAGTTGAGAAGACAGAGAGTTACGAGACACGTGATGTATCATTGAACAATAAAGAGAACGCCGATAATATACTTCATCATTTTGTTTCGAGCAACATTGAGGATAATCAACATAACACGGTGGATGTTTTACTTTGGAATCACGCGTTAGATTCCGCTTTGAAGCACAAAATACCGGGTTTCTCGGACGAAACGGAATTCAACGAGTATATTGACGCGTCGGTTGAACATGGCAAAACTGACGCACCGGAACTAATTGTGACCGCTGTGTCCACACCGGACGCTCTACACTTTTCTAACGCTTATTCGATTTGCAATGCGGATGACAATTTTCCCACAGCGGAGAATATGAACATAGAGAGAAAACCGACGGTACCAAACGACGATGAAGAAGATAGAAAGCAATTGTCCACTCCGGATGATGAGCAAAGTTCCGATTCGGGTTTCCGAGATAAAGAATCTTGCGAAGAAGAAGAGGCGTTTTGTTCAACGTCCGGCAATCTATTGTCCTCGGCTAATAACGCCGCGATCGCCGATGCGTCGCGCTCGGAGGAAGAACCGCTTCAGATTTTATTCGAACTGGATACCATTCTCGACGCGGAATATTACGCCACTTCCACGGGACCCGAAAGTATAATAACAGAAGGCTTGATTGCTACCACTCCTATCACGGGAACAGATCCGCTGCCGTTTTCGAAACAGAATAATCCCGATTCAAATCATTATTCTTCTAATTTTGACGAAACGGAAGATGCAAAGATCGATATCGATTCGACGCGAGTGTGTGATACAAAGAAGAACATAGATCAAGAAGAAGCGAGGCACGAAAACGCGATAAAAAATGTTGAATCGAAGAAAGTTGATGCGGATAATGAAAAGTCACAAGAATTCAACAACGAGGATAATGCGGATTTGATGCGCGATCTAGAAACAGAAGTTGTTACAAGATCAGACACAAATATTTCGACTATTCAGCAGGATTCGGAACAGTGCGCGCAAGGAGATTGCGAAAACGAGGACGAAGACAGCTCGACGGTGAGTTTGCGTAGCGACAATTCTTACGTTTCGTTCGGGATGGAGGAGGAATTTGTAACGGCTATTCGCAACGAGCTCAGGGAAAAATTGCCACAGGCTCAGATGCAAATTGTAGAATCTTTGGAAGTTCAAGATGATGAAAGTCCTTCCTGCGACGTATACGGCAAACAATGGGATGACGAGGACAATGAAGATCCGTGCGGTCAAATGAGCGGAGGTGTAGACATATCGATCAGGTACGCACATTAAACAATAAAAATTGTTAATTGTGAACAATTAACAATTTCTATATTTCGTTCTATTGTGTTGAGATAAACGTGTGATTTTTACGTCTTGCGATCGTAGGTACAACGTGTACGGAACGCCGCTGAGTCCTATTTTGGAAGAGCGGGAAAGCACCGTTACTTCCGAATCATTGATGTCCAACTCAAGAGAAGCATCCGTCACGTCGAAGGAATCAGTGCCGTCGGAAGATGTACTATTGGTCGACACTCGTACTAACGAAATGATATTGTTAGAGGGACGATTACAGGACGAAGATCGAGATACAACGAATGGTGATTTGTCCGATGAGGAAAATTTAGATTACGTTTGTTCGACGCGTTCGTTAGAAGATAAATCGCACATGATGAAGACAGGTGGCTGCGCGCCTTTGCCAAGTCCCGAAGAGGAATCCAAGTGGCAACAATCTTTCCCGTTACCATTGCCTTTACCTTTGCCGTCGTTGCAAGACGATATGATGTCCACGAGTTTCGCCACCGAACGCGAATGTTGTAGTCAGGACGAGGATGAAGAAGAGGAAGAAGACGAAGGGGAAGACGATGAAGGAGATGAAGAAGATGAGGACAACAGTTCTAGTTCCGGTGAATTCGTATGGAAGGTAAGTTTCCGCGGCGCGTAGTAAAAACATTTCTATCATGTTAAACATATCTCACAATATTTTCTGAAAATTTTTCTCTAAAATTTGTTCTCGCAGAGATACAACGAGCCGCATGTTGAACAGATACGAGTCAGAAGTACCGCAAATAACGACGAAGCGAGTACGGTAGCAAGCATGGGATTAGAAGAGGAATTAGCTGTCGAGGACGAAGAAGAGGAAGAAGAATTTACACCTTCGGCTTGGAATGCCGCTTTAGCGCCTCACCGGTCGGCATTGAGGTCGCCAGACAAAACATTAAAATCTGGGGTAATAAAAGAAATTATATAATGTATGCGCTCTTATATATATATATATATATCTATTGCACAGATATATTAATAAAGGCATTTTTCTCTTTTTTTTTTTCATTTAATCGCTCCTAGGATGAGTTGGTAGGTGTGTCGATTACTTAAGTACAGAGCAATGTATGTAATTTTAACATTTCTCTCGCGTGACTTTCCTTTGCAGATTTAATTAGAGGTATTTAGTGCACGTAATATATATTTCTTGCTAAACACACACCCACTGTTAGACATACATACAGGTGTAGCTTAAAATACATTTTCCTTATAAAACAGCTGACGATACGTACTATTCGTTTAGGATCAGAAAAAGAGCGTGTGGTTCAAGAAGCAACGCTACCATTGTGTGTACGAATATCCGAAGGAAACGTTATCTGTGGACAATCGGGCTGATACTAACATCAGCTCGGAGCGAACGTCATATTCCGGTACACTGTTTGCATAAATCAATAAATATCCTATGTTACTTACAAACAACTTCACACGTACACGCAGAAACAGAAAATGAGTTTCACGCAAATTTTATAAATTCGATTAAAAAAAAAAAAATAATTTGCATTTGCTTGGTATGTTTTTGTAGATTGGGAAGAGATGATGGATGAACCACGATTAGATCTGTATCCTTTGGATTACGACGATGCTAATCATACTGGTACGAATTTACAAAATTTAATATATATATATATATATCACGTATGTGTGTTTATTTTTACGACTATAACGCACATTTATTTTCATTGCAGGAAACGAAGAATTTTTTATAACTAGTTCGAATCGACCCTTTCAATTTCAAACCGGTGAAAGTAAATACGTTAGTCAATTTTTTCCAGGCGCGAATTCGATTTCGTTAGCGGACGATCGAGGGGAGGACGAGATAGACGGATGTCGTCAAGAGTTGCAGCAGAATAACGTTGATTTCACGATTGAACACGAGCAATCGGCTCAGCAGCAACAATTAGGAGAGTTAAGACACACTAGAGATCGCTTGAAGTTGAATCTGGTATTGTCGAACGGTACACCGTCCACCGCGTTTGTTCCTACGAGACAGTCGCAAGCGGATCAGCAGCAACTAAATATTACAGAAAATCACGATTCGGAACTTGAGAACGTTGTCACGCAAGATCAGTGCATTGTATCGAGTCCAGTGAATGATAATACGTTGCCAAAGGTGCCTCACGAAGATGTCCAACTTAGTCCATCTTCCGTTTTTCAGTGCGACAATTAGGATAACGGATCCCACCGAAAAAATGAAGTGTTTTAGCTCGTGACTAAAAAAAAAAAAAAAAAAAAAAAACAATGAGACACTGAAGTCTATAATAAGATTATTAAAGAAGACAGTTTAATCTCCAAGTCCGTCCGAAAACAATCTCGTCGTGAAAATGATAAACTTGATTTTTTTCGTTTATACGGTCTGATAGTTCACTGATGAGATTTTACTATGACACGAATCTCGAACAAATGTATATTGTATATAAAACATAAAAGATGTAGTCGATATTATACTCGGAGCTGCAAGTCGATTGGTTGTCTAAAAGACTTTTTGATAAAGCAAAATTACAATTCTTCTGTACCACGCAAGGGAATGTTACCATCGAGTCAGCTTTTCGATACTCTGTATAGCGACGCAGTAGTAATATATATATATATATATATATTTATATATATATATATCCGAGCCAGTTTACTCCACGATTCTCTTGTATACGGAATACAAAGACATCAGTATATAACATAGCCGCGGCTTTATAATTCTCCATAAAGCTTTTCTGCTCGCATTAGTCATAATAGAATAATAACCGAAGGATTGTATATAAAAAAAAAAAAAAGTGGACATGAGTATTAATTCCTAGACAATCGATTTGTAGAAGCGCTACATCGTAATTAAAAATACGATAAGAAACAATTCGTCGCATCGTGTAAATAGTTTTATTGTAGCGGAATCGTTAAAACGAGCAGAGAGTAGTGCCTATGTACGTAGAACGACATTTATTTTTATGACTTCACTTTATAAGATATTACATCCAAACTGTCTTTCACACGTCCATCTTTTTTCCTTACCAAGCTCATTAATATCACGCGTGTTTCTTGTAATTATTATTATTAATTAAAACACATAAATCTGCTCTCTATTATCGAAGTATTTTATAGCGCAAATGTGAGGGATATATTATCCCAGTTGAAAAAAAAAAAAAAAAAAAAAAAAAAAAAAAAAAAAAAAACTTAGAGAAAAACAAAAATATCAAACTGATTAGAAATGAGACCAAAATGCAAATTGTTTAGTGCGAGTATATATGTATATTGAGTGATTATATATAAGATGCGATATTAAGTTATTTCCAGTCATTTTTGCTTGATATCTTATCTCGCATCTTATTTCAAAAATGAAATTTACATATAAATCGAAAAACAATATTGCTATTAAATATACCTATCGTCTTGACTTAGTCAAAGCTCTTCGCTTTCTCAAGATCGTGTTCAGATTCTTGTTGTGCGACGATCTTATTTCTATTCAGTTTGAAGTTGTCATTTTACAAAGATTCGTTATGTCTTATATTATAAAGATTATACAATTACACTTGCACTATTAACTTTTTACACAAATGTATACATGTATTGATAGTTTTTATTAGGATCTGTGATGAAGATATTGTGTATATCGGTTGATTTTATATTATATAACTGAAGGAAGAAGACTTAGAATTATATTAAACCGGAAAATATTTCGAGTACGTTTGAAATTTTGAATAGAATTCGTATATATTTTACTATAAAAAACGAAAATTCGTAAAATCGCTAACTTTTGTTGTTGTTTTTTTTTTAATACGCGTAAAACGAAATGATCATGTTACAGAAAAGTATATCTTTTTCATAGTGACATAACAGAAGTATCAAATATCATTTGCTTTTACACTAATAAGAACTTTGCGCGACTACGGTACACGCACGATTTTTGCTTCAAACTCATACCGTAGTATATATGTATATACATACATATATATATACACATATATGAAAGTGTGCGAATAAACAAATAACCATTACTAAATGCAGTATGGCGCAATATAAGAAATATTTCTATATATGAATTTAAAATACTCGCGGACGCGCGATAGAAGCGAAAATCGCAAAAATTACTGTTTTAGAAACAATTTTTAAAGATATTTATTTGCTATTATGCGTAACTTTGTTGTATTAATTATTTATACTAAATATGAAGAGACTGCTGAAATGAACCAATGAAATAGCATCGATATAGAATTTAGCGTCATATGAAAATTATGTGGGTATTTGTGCCACCATTGTTTCAACATTGTACACAATAATGAGAGAAATACATATATACAAATTGCCGCTAATAAAAGCAGCATCGCAGGTGCTGTTACGTCTCTCGCTATTATGACATTTATTAATGATACAGCTTTGTGCTCACTATATAAGATAGAAAAAAAGAGAGGAAAAAAACAGTTAATATATTGTTATACAGAAGAACACCTATGTGTTTATTCAATGATCAAACCACACTGTTGAATACACAATCTATTTTTTTTTTTTTTTTTTTTTGTACATATCGCTAAGTTTATTTTTTTCGCAATATTTTAAATTAGTTTAGGGGGGTATTCGGGATCCTTCAAATATGTGATGCAATCCTAGCATCCTATCCCTAGTGAGAAAAAATGGATTAGATCTAATTTAAATCTAACGAGATAAAAAAAATGAAGAAATAGATCTAATTAGATCTAAATTAAATCTAAATAGATATAAAGTAGATCTAAATAAATATAAAATAAATCTAAATAGATATAAGTATAAATCTATGGAAATTTACACTTTTATTTATTGTTTTATTGATCTACTCAGATCTATTACATTAGATCACCTCAGATCTGTTCAGATCTGCTCAAATCTAACTAAATCTGAGTAGTTTTAACATAGTAGATATGAGTGGATCTAAAGTAGATTTAATAATATATAAAAAAAGTGTAAATTTAATAGATCTACTTATATTTTATTTAGATCTACTTTATATTTATTTAGATCTACTTTATATCTATTTAGATTTAATTTGGATCTAATTAGATCTATTTTTCCAATTAGATCTAATTAGATCTATTTTTTCTATTAGATCTAATTAGATCTATTTTTTCTAGTTTTTGTTTATCTCGTTAAATTTAGTTAGATTTAATTCATTTTTTCCCGGGATATGATTTTAAGAATTGACATCTCAATTCAAAAAACTCACTCGTAAAAATTTACTTGTGAATACGTATATATATATATTCATATATACATGCTTATATCCGCACAAACATCCTACAATCGACTTTTACTAAGCCTATATATATTTCGTTTAAAGTTTATTTCTTCATTTTAAACGTGTGCGTGTGTTACAATAAAAACACGAAATTTAGTAAAATGTGTACACATCAAGTATGCATTTACACAATTTTTTTAACAAAATTTAACTTAAATCTACAAATGATATTCCTGGCAAATGTATTTTTACCAGACAATGCATACATTTGTTACGCTACATTATATTAGAAAGAGCAATAATATATCACAAGTCTAATGGTTTTTATATATATATTATTAATATATTATTAATTATAATTTATATATTTATTAACATATTATGAGGAAAAATGAAAACTTAATTATACTTGTTTGCGTTTATTCGATAATCTTGAGAAGTGTATGTTTAAGCGAATACACGCACTTTAGGAGAATACGAGTAAATGGGCATTGCCCGTCTTTTTGTACGTGTGTGTGTGTGTGTTCCTATATAAACAAAAATAACAAAACTTGGGACTATATAGAAAATATCAAAGTGGTCGAAAATATTGCGCGGAAGTTAAAATGCATTTTTATTTGTGTTCTATAAGTTATAAAATTAAATATGCATATTTCAGCTGGCAAGTGTCCATTTAAATTAATGCATTTTCGTTTGTACATACTTTTATTAAATCAAGTGTGTGAAAAATTATATACATTTTCTAGTAAAAGTTCAAATTTCACTGCTTGTGAATACATTTACTTCATCAAATTAGTAAGTAAAGTGCGCCATATTGTTCCGCGTAAGAGAAAGTAGTTTATTTCTCCGACCGTCTTCTATTACGGCGCCGCCGTTCTCTTTCGGTTTCCACCAATGGCTCCAGATCTATGCTGATGATTCATGTTGGCGCAATCTATCTGCGAACTAGGGTCGTTTATGTCTCACTGCATTTTTCTATATGTTAAAAGTTAGAAATATTCTGAAAAAATTGATGTAGTATCTTTTAAACCTTCTACTTTACATATCGATCAAAACATTTTGGAAAAAATTAAATTTGTTTAAATAATGATTTAATATAAACGAAGTTTCACTCGAGTGGATTGTAGTGTTTCGTTTAATTGACCGAATTGAAAAAATGCTTAAATTGAAGACAAAATTTGCAGCTTTCATTAAAAAATTACGCTATTGCATTTATTTTTTTTATTAAATTTAAATCCTTAATTTTTCAATGTGAAAAATGCGTTTTTTACGTTCGTAAAAAACGTAAACGCTGGCGTTTTTGAAGAAAAAACTAAGATTTTTTTATTTTAAACATTTTTATTTATAAAATAATGATAACATTAGAGCATAATTAAAATAGTCAATCTGTTCTCTCGGTCTAAGTTAGCTCGTCGGAAGAGCGCTGCTCCATTTTAAAACTATTATAAAACAAACGTTTTAATTAAAAATATCATGGTAATACTTTAAAATAAATAAAGTAACTTTAAAGCACTTTAAAATTAATTGAGCAAAATTATGTAAAAATCAGATGAAACACAAAAAGAACTTTACTCATTTGTACGAAAAATACGTAGTTCGCAAATCAGGGTCGTTCGTGTTCCGCTCGGAATTTCGTCTTGTCACTGTGGCTGATGTGGCTGAATCGCTAGCAGAGAGACCAAACGAGAACGACGCGCACATACGACGGTCGGAGAATAAATTACTTTCTCTTGCGTGGAACGTGGCGCACTTTACTGTACATTTACTATGACATATATGTATAAAAATATTAAAATCTCGTAGTTTTATGTTTTAAATAATCACTCATTTGTACATCGTGTTTGTTCTTACATATTTTATAAATTGCGCTGATGATTACGCCATAAAATAATTAGTCCGTCGTGATCTGCGGATGCGAGTAAAGATTCATCATAATTAAAAGACAGAGCTAACGTTGGGGTTGCATGACCGTGTAATCGGTTGATTCTTGAGGCCTTTCCCTCTCTTGTAGAATCTAACAGATGAACAGCTCCGTCTTCCGATCCGGTGGCTATTAAACATGCACCCATTTGAGGACAGAAAGTAGATTTTAATGTATAATATCTATGTTTGATAGGATATTTTCTCCAGGAGCGTAAAGATCCGTGACTGTCTGTAACACGATACAATAGCACAGCATTGCACGCACTGCTCACTAACAATGCTGGCCAAGGAGCATCCTTGGATAACCATGAGCGCCAAGTAAGACTGGTTATCATTCCACCAGTTTCCTGTAATCTCTGCAGCTTTGTTAGTCGTCCTATTCCAGGTTCTACTCGAAAAGACATTATAACACCTCTGTCATTGCCAGCCCAGATCACTGAGCCACCGCTGCCCTCGCATGCAATGGAAAGAACCTGAAAATGTACCAACTCGCATAATAATTCAGAAAATTTTCTTATATCACTTTTTTTCTTCAAATAAAAAAATCTGACCTTTCCACCAATCTTGCAGAATCCACTACGTGTGTATATACCAGTAGATACATTTAAGATCTGAATCAATCCCTGAGAATTGCCAGCTATTATTAAATTGTTGTTTGCAGGTATGAAATTACAGCATAAAACTTCTGCCCGTTGTTGGTCGTTTACTACTCTTAAACAAACTGGTTCTACATCCGCAGATATTTTCCAGAGCCTTATTGTTGCATCCAAAGAAGAAGAAACTATCAGATCATTGCTGATACTCCAATCGAATGCGGTCACGCCATTACGATGACCTTCCAACAGAGCAACCACTTTTGGAGGAGTACTAATGACTTCACATATAGACAATGTGCCATCTAATGATGCGCAACACAATTTAGATCTGTCATCATTGGCAAATTTCAGCATTGTTACAGCTGCATTATGTTGATCAAAAACATGATGGACACCGGCAAACGCAAAATTCTCTGCTGTTGATTTTCTTTGTATAAAATGATGTTTCGTTCTGTTATCTAATTCTTCGCTGATTGTGTGACTTCCCATACTGCTTTGTTCTTGCCTTTCTCCGTAACGCCAAGATAGCAATTCGGATCGCAGTTTTAAGTACTGTGCATCAATTTCTGGATCTCTGGAATGTTTTTCCCGAAGTAACTGGTTTCTTCGACGAATGTATAACATACCTAAAAAAAAATAAAAAATCATAAATAATAAAAATTGTGATCTTTTTGTTAAAATAATTCAAACCGAACATATTACACACACCCAGACTAGACAATTTGTTAGCTCGCAATGTGTTGTACTTTGCATCAAGTGCAAATACTTGTTGATGCCACATAGTGGTCATTTTTCATACATATATATTATCTATCTATCAATTGCAATTATTTTAATACACCTTATAATTCTGTTCTATATTTCCATATATATACTTCTATATTGCTAGTCGCGTGAAGTATTATATATATGTATATTTCACGATATTACACGGAATCATTTTATCACCTATATAGCTTAATACTTGTATGCATGACAAAAAAAACTATTTTGACTATATCGCTTTTCATTTTAGTTTTCTTATATATAGAAATATATTTCCCTCAATCAACTAAAACATTTTGTGTTTACAACTTGTGGTATTTTTATTACTCTTTCCTTTGCTCATTTTCTTTCCAATTTTTTAAGGTTATGTTATTTTCCGCGAGCGCGCGCGTATGAAATAGGCTGCGTTCCGAGTTACGCATATGCGCCCATTTATCTATAGTACACGTGACATATAGTATAGACATATGCGTAACTCGGAACGCAGCCATAGTTGTCATCCGTGACAACTTCCCGATGGATGAGTTCAGACAACTCAACAGTTGCACAACGGTTGAGAGATGATCACTTCTGATTGGATCATACTTTTGGAACCGCAACAGATTTTGAAGAATAGTCCTATCATAAGTGATGATCTCTCAACCGTTGAGTTGTCTGAACGCACCCGATATTCACTACGGCTGCGGTCCGTTTCGTGCTTAATCGCGCATTTATCTATAGTATATGTCACGTATACTATAGATAAATATGCGCTTAAGCATAAAACGGACCGCAGCCTACCAGTAGTAAATCTACTGGAAATCTATAATATATGTCACGTGAACTATAAATTTTCAAGCCCCTTGCACAATGGAAGGAATAGCGATAGCAATAGAAATAACACAGTTTTTAACACAGAATTCCAACTCGTCGGAAATTTTATCGCTATTACTTATTTCGATTTTCTGATCTGCATTGATACATGTGTATTTTTGTATGTTAGATTCCGCTGTTCCTACCTTTATTTTTAAATATAAACTCTTTAAAGCCTCTTGCACAATGGACGGAATAGCGATAGCGATAAAAATAACAAAAGTTTTAAAGAGTTTATATTTAAAAATAAAGGTAGGAACAGCGGAATCTAACATACAAAAATACACATGTATCAATGCAGATCAGAAAATCGAAATAAGTAATAGCGATAAAATTTCCGACGAGTTGAAATTCTGTGTTAAAAACTGTGTTATTTCTATCGCTATCGCTATTTCTTCCATTGTGCAAGGGGCTTAAAACTTTTGTTATTTCTATCGCTATCGCTATTCCGTCCATTGTGCAAGAGGCTTCAGTGCTGACAGTGAATAACAGAACGCAATCGTCGGCCTTGTTCGGTTATTACTATACTCAGTACTGAAAATCTATAGGCTTATGTGACGTATACTATAGATTTTTAAGTACTGTCAACGATAACTGAAGGTTACCCACTTCACAGAAGTTTCAATATAAACAGTCAGTTTCCGTGTTTGTATAAATAATTTTTAATATCCGTCCTAATGATCTCATCAGCAATTGAAACAACAAAAAATGCCGATGAATTGACGACTGTTCGAGATGATCTATACGATGTAGAAAAGTGCGTTCGGTGGATTCAGGCAAACGAATTAAAACAGGTTGAAAAGATAAATTCTTAATATATCATATTAATTTGTTGATATTAAAATATCAAAGTAAACGATTTTTTTAAAAAAATGATTTAACTTTCTTCTTTCTCTTTTTCTTTTTGTATCACTTTCACAAATCTTTATTTAGAATTAGGTTATGCATTTATGTAATTTTCTTCTTATATAGGTATGTCTGCAGTTTCCAGACAGCTTGTTATCAGATTCGGTAGACGTTGCCTTACGCATAGAAAAAAATATAGGACAGAAAGTATACATTTTGGGAGATACAACCTGTGGTAGTTGTTGCGTTGACGAAATAGCTGCACAACATATTAACGCAGATGGTTTAATACATTTTGGACATGCTTGTCTTAATCCTACGGTTCGTTTACCAGTACTTCATATTTTGCCAAATAAACAACTCGACGTGACAAAACTCATTGATGAGTTTAAGCGAATTTTTTTAGATGATACAAAGAAAATCTTATTCTTCTATGATGTGGCATATGCACATAATATTGGTAAATATTTAAAAATTCAAAAAAAAAAAAAAAAAACAAGAACTTATAATTGTAAACGTAATAGAGTATATATAATAATTATTTCATCATTATATTACAGAACATATATATAATTTATTGAAACCTACATATAAACATTTAGTTTTATCTAAATTGAATTGTACGTCAAATGTGGAATATATTGATGCAAAAACAACCTCAGTCCCAATTGTTTTGGGCAGAAGTTACACATTGGAAAATGGATATAACATACAAGATTATGAAGGATTCTTTTTGGGAGATGGAAAAACTTTTTCATTGTTAGCAATGGGTATATCTGTGAAGAAATGGTACTGTTTCACAAATAATACTATTAATGAATTTGAAGCGTTGAATACTCCTTGGCTAAAACGACGAAGATTTTTAATCGAAAAATTGAAAGATGCTAAAGTTGTGGGAATTGTAGCGGCTACATTAAGCATTAAAGAATATTTGGTGTCTATAAACACGGTGAAAAAAATTCTTAAACAAAAAAATAAGAAATCTTATATTCTCAGTGTAGGAAAAATAAATCCTGCCAAACTTGCAAATTTTCCAGAGGTTTGTTGTAATTTATATATATATATATATATATATATATATAAATAGATATATATATATATATATATATATATATATATATATAGATTTTGTTATATATATAGATTTTATATATGTTATATATATTTGTTATATATATAGTATAGATTTTGTTACATATATATATATATAGATTTTGTTATATATATAGATTTTATATATGTTATATATATTTGTTATATATATAGTATAGATTTTGTTATATATATATATAACAAAATCTATACTTTGTTTAAGTATATTAATATGTTTATGTTAATAAAAATGATAATATTATCTATTAAATATTTCATTCTTATTTCAGATTGACATTTTTGTTGTCATAGCTTGTCCAGAGCATGAAGTATTTGACTCAAGAGATTTCTTAAGACCTATACTTACGCCGTACGAAGTTGAATTAGCATTTAATAGTGCAAGAGAGTTTTCTCCGCAATATTTTATGGATTTCCGACAGATATTACCCGGTGGTTCTCACTACATCGATTTTAAACCATCAACAGATACAGATGTTTCTCTTATTACTAGCAATATCAGACACTGTGAAGATGATGCTTCGTATACAGATAAAATGTCTGCTCTGGAAATTCGTTCTTCAGGTTTTATAATCCTTTAAATTAACATTTCCAAAAAGCTAATTAAAAACACTGGAAACTAAAAGCTATTTTAAAGTATCTTTTACTAAGCAAAAAATGTGAAGTTTATACTGAAGTTACAAACAAAATTGAATATAATTAATTTTATTAGGTGCAATTGCAATTGGTAAGGCTGGAGCTCAATATTTGCAAGAAAGATCTTGGAAAGGTGTTGAACAAAGATTAGGAGAAGATCCTGTACAGCCGGCAGAACTAGGTCGCAGTGGAATAGCGTGGGAATACACAAATGAACCTTTAAAACCAAATAATCATGCTACACAAGCGCAATAAATATAGTGCTTCTTTAAATATAGAAAATATTATTATAAAGTTTCTCTCATAAGGTTTGTGTGAGAGCATACAAAAAATGTGAAACAATCCTGGTCTGAAAATTTTTAAAAATCTCCCTCGTTGTAATTGGTTTTTTTAATAACTAGAGATGTTCAGGACTTTTTCTGTTGTGGCAAAGTGGATTTATTTTATTTATGTACCTATAGATATGTAATAAGACTGTTACTTTTTGGAACGACTCTTGAGAATTAAGTTTTTTCAATTCCCACCTCTATTTCTCTCTCTCTCTCTCTTTCTGGCTGCATTCGGGGAGCACGCTATCAACACTATTGCGTTATTCTATCTTTGTTTTACATCTAGTAAGCAATAAAGATAGAATAATGCAACAGCGCTGATAGCGTGCTCCCCGAATGCAGCCAGAAAGAGAGAGCTCCGCCCCAGAGACAGAGTTGCAAGATGGTTTTGGTTTGGTGCAAAATTGGCTCAGTGGACCGAATTAAGTTAGTCCATACGCCATTCTAGAAACTTCTGACTGATATTAGGTTTGGAGCACTTTTGCTGAACAGTCTTTTCCGTATAGGGAAAGATAAACTGTGAAGGCGAGTGGTCATGTCCAGTGTAGGGATATTTGTCTTGTGCATGGTAAGAGAAAGGGGAAGGAGTAAAAACAGGAGTGGTAAAAGCAAGAGATTGGTAAAGCTTAAAGGGATATTTGCGCGCGTGTTTTTTTTTTTTTTTTTTTTTTAGAAATATATTGCCAGAGGACTCTTGTCCTATTAGACTTGCAATTCTTTTAACGAAATCAAGTGTTTTCTTTAAGGCTTAGTCACAGAGTATTCCAATATCAATATCAGGGAGGAGTATGTATAGGGTACTACCTCCGTAGTCAACCTTCGAAGTCAAAATGTCTCAAGTTTCTCTTTGTATGAAGATATAGAATTAAGGGCCTTCTACAATGAGATATTAGTAATAAATCAGGGCGATGTCCCATTGAGCGGAAATATATAGCGGAACGGTATGTGCGGAACCAGCTCGACCAATCATAGCCATTCCGTTTTCTTTCCTTCGCTTTTTCTGTGGTTACGATTGGTCGAGCTGGTTCCGCACATTCCGTTCCGCTATAGATTTCCGCTCAATGGGACATCGCCCTCAGAAGTCAGAAGCAAGAAATTGACCAATCACATTTAAATTACAAAAGAATAATCTATTGTGATTAGTCAATTTCTTGCTTCTGACTTCTGATTTATCTAATATCTTAAGCCTGTTCTACATTGATCGCAAGCGCAAACGCAAGGAACAAGTCTGGTAGAATTGACTAATCGTATTGATCAAATCAGCCAATCGACCAGCGTGATTGATCAATTCTACGAGATCTACACCTTGCGTTTGCGCTTGCGATCAATGTAGAACGGGCTTTATTGTAGAATTGCCCTTTGGCGCAATAGCGCCCATGGTTACGTTCCAAAATCCTACCTTGGTTACTAAAATGCTATATTTTACGTCACGTGTACTATATAGTTTTTGGTAATCAAGGTAGGATTTTGGAACGTAACCCATGAATAACGCTGATAAACTCCTCAAACGCAGCCTAAGGAAACGTGGGGACATTTGTTGTGTACAGTCACGGTTAGAAACCCTGGTGACTACTTTGTGTGGGGAAATATCGCAAAATTTGCGACTTGCGAACAGTCATTTGCAATGCGTATAGTCGCGATCGGTGACGATCGCAAATACTTTCTTGACGCGAACTTTATGAGGTAAATTGAATTTCTTTCTTCTGTAATTTCTTTAATATTTCTCTTAAGTAAACTCCAAGTAAACTCGCGGAACCAATTTCGATGTAATTAAGGTATTCATTGAACGAGTGACTTTCAACGCATAGAAGAAAATCGTGTTCGAAGACACTAGTCTATTTCACGACGACGACGACGACGACGACGACAAGGACGACGACAACGACAACGACAACGACAACGACAACGACAACGTATAGTTTTAAAAACTTGAGATGCATTGTCAACAGTATTAATCGGCAAAATCAGATTCGATGTAATGATGCCTGCAAAAGTCTGCAAAAGCTTGCAAAAGGACGACGACGAGTGTCCGCTTGTCGATCCAAATGATGAAGAAGAATCGCTTACTCCTCAGGAAGATAATTACGGCTGCGAACATTATAAGCGAAAATCCAAGTTTGTGGTAAGTTTAAAGATAGAAGTCTTCTGTGTAAGCTTAGGATCTTTGACAAGTAATTTAATTTATTTATTGTTGCTGACCTCATGTGCAATAAAATGTATAGAAATATATCACATTTATTGTGATATATATATATTTGTTAATTAAAATTTTAGAATCACAAACAATAAAGACGTAATATATATAATATAATTAGGACATTATATACACAACATAATTAAGAATGTAAATACTTGTCTATTAGATAAGAAAAGGAAAATGCTGTGCTTTGTTCATTGATTGAATAATTTTCTCAATAATAACATTTAATGTTTTTGTTTTTTTTTATTTTTACTGTAGACTCCCTGCTGCAACAAAGTATACACATGCCGATTTTGTCATGATGAACAGGAGACACATACAGTTAATAGAAAAGAAATCACAGAACTGATATGCGTTTGCTGTGATACTCGTCAACCTGTTCAGGCCACTTGTCAAAACTGCCATTGCCAATTCGGTAAATACACATGTTTAGAATGCAATCTTTTCGATGACGAGGACAAAAATCAATATCACTGCGATGGCTGTGGGATATGTCGAGTTGGTGGTCGTGACAGATTTTTTCACTGTGCCAAATGCAACATGTGTTTGCCAGTTCAACTAAAAAATGGACATAAGGTAAGAATATATAACATTATAAAACACATAAAAAACTAACTTACTCACTATATAAAATATTGAATAAATGTTTATTTTACAGTGTATAGAAAATGTCTCACATTCCAATTGCCCTGTGTGCCTCGAAGATATCCACACGAGTCGCATACCTTGTCACATACCTGATTGCGGACATTTGCTTCATCGCACGTGTTTCGAAGAATTGTTACATTCCGGACATTATGCATGCCCGACGTGTCAAGTGTCGCTGCTGGACATGACAGATTTGTGGAAATACTTGGATGCAGAAGTGTCGTTAACGCCAATGCCTGAGGAATACAAGGACTTCAAGGCCGAAATCTTGTGTAAAGACTGTCATAAGGTCAGAATTTATTTCTTTTCATATGTATGTTTAACATATTTCACATGAACATTGCTACATGTGAAAAAATAAAAATTGGAAGAAACGTCCAAGAATATTTCTTATTTCAGGAATCTACGGTAAAGTTTCACATTGTCGGATTGAAATGCTTAAAGTGCGGTAGCTACAACACTTGTAGAATAAAAGGCTCTCCTCTGCCAGGTGCGATAATCGGTCGTTGATTTGATTTCCTTGGTCTAACTTTTCAAGATTTTTAATAAATTTCCAATAACTTGTACAGATGCGGATCCTTTATACGAAAGAGCTGGGAGTAGTAGGACAGGAGAAGACGAACAGTCGTAAAATCGGACTTTGGGAGTATTATCTGAAAGTGTCTATCAATTGTGTAAGAAGTGCAGCCTATTAGCGGTGATATGAGAGAGTATTTTAGAATATCTTTATGATCTTGTAGCAAATTACATTTCTGTTGTCTTTATCGTACTTTTCGATCGAACATTATTTAATCGATTGTGCAAGTACGTGAACATTAACCAGCTTTGTCGTTCAAACGAAGCTTAATTCATAAATAATTGTCTTAGTATAATACTTTGTGACACACAGTAATGTAACTTCGATGTGTAGGTCATTTCATTAGCGCGAAAGAGATATTTGTAGTTTTATAACAGAAATTTGTTTTGTTCTGTTTGTGTCAAATCATGATTAAAGACAACGGTTGATGAAATGATCGGCACGAGAATATCTCGTGGATATTCAATTTTGCGTGCGATATGTTTACGCTGAAACATTTTGATCTATAAGACGTATAAAAAGAGAGGCATGCTTTCCTACTTACAATACGTTGATTTTATCAAAACGAAAGAAAATTAGCGATATGAAATATATTATATGTTTTTCTTTCGTTTTGTTGAAACTTGCTAGACCAATTATTTCAAAATATTTCTATGACGTAATTAAAACCCTCACTTTTTCTGTGACATGTCGCTATCCAATTTGCATAATATATATATATATACAGTCGAACCTCCCAAAACATATGCAAATCCACTCTCAAAACGTATAATTTTCCCCATCATCGCTTTTTCCACCACTAAGTATGATTGCAACCAAAACTGCGCTAGCGCGAAATGAATTTTATATCAAGTAAGTCTTTTTGCGCATGCGTGAGGTAAAGAGTGAGGGAATAGGGAAAATTATACGTTTTGGAAAGCTCGTCGGTCCCGACTATATACGTTTTGGGAGGTTCGACTGTAGCTCGGTCATTGTTACTGTTGTTATTTTAGTTTTAATAATTCCGACATTGTTATCTCTATACTTATCATATTCCAAATTTGTTTATATTTTGATTTTACAATTTAATAGAGGCTAATTCTATGATTTCCGCCGTCAAACTTTTTAACATGTGGAATTATTGTTGAGTTTTGTTAAATATATTTTTTGATAAAATTTTAGATATATTAGATATAGATATTTGTTTGTTTAACAAAGAAAGGTTACTCGCGCGTATACTTTTATTATCTTGTTACATTTCTTTGAATTTTCTCAGCGGCTTTATTAAACTCACCGTCATTTGTGCCTCAAATTTGTCTTCCGGCAAAAACAAGAACTCGGACGTCAAAAGTTGCTCAAATTCTTGTATATCCTATATACGTATAATTTATGTATACAATTTTTTCGGATTTTTTTCTGCGGTTAAATGAGATTTATTGGCACATTTATTTGTAGTTTATTAATTATTGCGCCTAAAACAAATTAAAAACCGGTAAATTAAGTTTGATAATTGTTTCGGAAAGACAAGAGAGAATAACACGAAGTATCACAAACCTTTTATATGGTGTGTTTAGACATATAGCACAGTGTCATCTGATCTTGAGCAAACTTATATATACTCACATACACAATCAATGTTTTAAAATCAATGTTTGCATTTTATGATATTCAATATTTGATATTTGATGCTTTTGCGATGTGTTAATAAGAATTCCTGAAGATGGTTTTTGGATTTGGACCGTGTTAGTGGATTTCAAGACCTGATACAATGTAAAGTGAACTGAAATGTCCGCGAAACGTCGGTGTAAAATATGATATTAACGCAGTTCAAATTAAAAAAAAAAAAAACCATCTTCAAGATATTCAATATTGTTGAGAAAAACACGATCTTTTCATAAATGCCAAAATTATGTTATTGGCAATGAAAAGCAATCACACACATTTATATATAAAATCTCTGTGTCGTATTTCAAGATGCATACTTATGATGCACTTTAAATAATTAAAAATTTAATTTGCATTTTTCACATAAACAGCCTCTCAATATAGAAACGTAAGTTAATTGTAACTTACTTTTTCTGAACGTTTCCACTTCATTTTCATGAAAAACAACTCATTTTCTGGATAAGTTTTGGAATTAATAAAAATTACCTTTGACAGCAATTTGAAGAGATAAAAATTCCAGTAATTCTTATTTTAAAAACTGTTAAACGTTTTCAAAATGCGCAGTGCGCAAAATCAGTTTTTTTTTTTTTAATCTTTCTAAATGGGTACGTCTCTTTAAATTGTTTGAAAAATTTAACCATGTCTGTGGTTGTTTCGGAAAAAAATCTCGCTTAGTTATGGATATTTCTAGTTGAGAATAAATATGTAATTTTTCGCGCTTGCGTAATGTTTCCTCGTAGGTGTGCAAACACCACTACATAGGAGCACAAATTCTCACGTGAATGACACATATTGATTCAACAATGTATAAACATAGCGAATAATGCGAAAAAATTTATAATTTTCATGAATGGTACAGTATCGCGTGTGTTGTTACACGTATATCAGTGATTTCTTGTGCAATACGAACTCTTTATTTTTTCCCAATAGGCAATTTTTCTAGCAATTAATAGATATAGTCAACTATATCAATACATAAAATCTAATATATAAAATATATATATAATCTAATATACATAAAATGTTTTAGAGCGATGCTATCTATACAAATGTTAGATAGGTATTCATTAATCGCGATTGTCAGTCGAAAAAGTTTGCTATCTTCTATCGCATTTAGTGCGGAATATTTTTTAGTTACCGAAAATATAGTAGCAGCTGCCACCAATTGTATTTTATAATAAACGACTAGCTAAAAAAACATCTCCAGCGGATTTCTTTTAGAATTCGGATTTAAAAAGTTGAGATTGCGAGTGATGATTTTAGATGTAATATTGTTTTAGATTTATTATGAAAAAAAAAAAAAAAAAAAACTAGATCATATGTCGTCACTCCCTACGTATAATTACATAAGTGTCACATATGGGATTTTCAGTTTATTGCATAGTGACACTCAGAAAGTCATGTTCTTTGTGGTCACCAAGTATTAAAAAAAAAATATTCATAAGTAAGGTAAAAATTTAAAACCGAAAGATCCCATAACTAGGGAAACTATATGAAGCTTCAAACTTTTAAACTGCTCTCCTCTAAAATTTGCGTTTTGGAGTTACGGGATTATACGTAGGGAGTGACGATGTTATCTGGCGACTTTATCATTCCCCATCATGGCACTCCAATTAAAAATCAGACAAATTGTATCGATTTTTTTTAGTGAATAATTGTATTTTTAATAAATTGTTAGATCAAACGGTGTCTTTTTCCAACACGTTTTAGTTTCTTTACATATTTTTACATATATTAGTTAAATAAAAATAAACGTAGAAACTGAACGATATACGTAAATTCCGTGTTGTGTGATTTGTCATCACGATTTTATTATTCACTTGTAAATTAAATACCAGTTATACAAAGGAGCTTTGTACATAACTCGCAATATAATGCTTCTGTTTTATATTATATGTATAATATGCTACCGTATTGTAATCAAATAAACCAACTATAAATTTTAAGTTTTTCTCATGCGAAGAGAGGATGAAACGAGAAACGGATACTTGCTTATGAATATGCACACGTGTGTGCGTGGTGTAACCAAATATCATGATGAGATATTGAAGAAGCGGTATAGAATTTTATTCCATACAAGAATGATCTCGATATTTTTATCTGTTATAAATCTCTCAAAAAATTACTGAATAATAAATTACTAAGCAATATACGTAGCAAGCCATTGTTTGTAGACATGCGTTGCGGACATTCCCGTTCTTTCTCAAACAATAATATCGCTTTTGCGAAACAGAATTTGAATAAGCGCGAGAATGAAATCAGTAAACAATGTGTATCTCAGTCTTTATCACCCAGTATACGAATGAGAAAAACTCATTTTCGCGTATCTTTAATATCCCGGTGAAAACGGTGCGAGAAACTGTCTTTATAAATATATATATATATACACATATATGCGCAGCGCGCGACAATAAATTCAGAAGTTTTTGCAAAGCTTCTGACTCGTTGCCACGGGCTATACATATAAAATATATATAATAAAAAAAATATGTATAAACGTAAATTGTAACAACCTCAAGCGTGTAACCCCTGAGGAATGGAAATTCGGTTGCATTGTGGTTTTCGTGTTTTGTCATGTATAACGAATTCAATAAATTGCACTCGATGCGCCCAGAACTTAAACCAGCGATATTTACAACGATATGTAATTTTGAAACATACGACCAAAAACTTCCTTTAATCCTGCAGTGCACAGCTGTTTTTTTTTTTTTTTTTTTTTTTTTTTTTAGAAAAGATACTAATCTATTTGTTTTTTATATACATTTTTTATATTATATTTCTCTATTATATTCTTTATACATCATTTTATTAGTAACAAAAAAAAAACAATCTTCAGTAATTTATCCCAAAAAAATTCGAGATATTTACATCATTAATTTTTCGTTATTATGTGAAGAGAATTCATGCGCTGCAGAATTAATCTTAGTACCGCGCATCGAGATCAATCGATCGAATTTGGCGAAGTTAATTCGCCTCGAGTTTCGTATAAACGCGTCAAAAATTCCAATAAGCGGCCGCGCATTCCTTAAACGGAAGCGTTCTCTCCATTTTCACCTACGACTAGTTTTAGCAATATGCTTTTTTTTTTTTTTTTGTACCACAAAGTGCGACCGAGCGCAAGTTTGTTTTCTATTCTCTTTTGTCTGTTTCAGAAATTCAGAGACCGCGGACGCAACGGCAGGAACCCGTGATTGTTCAGAAAACGTCGGGCGGCGCGAGTCATTTCGAGCTGATCACGCGTGCGACCACACGCCACCGTTGTCCATTGCGCTTCTAATTTTAACTGCAAACAGAAAGAATTTTTTTAAACAGATTTTTCGGCGCTCATTTTGCAGCTGTCTTAAATTATAACAAGAACAAGAGAACATGCACGCTTAAAATTCTTTACAACTTGGGCTGTGTCCAGTTAAGCAAGAGGGAACGAACAAATGCAGGAAATACAGGAATTGAAATGCAGGAATAGCATGAATTGAAAGAAGTCGAGAAAGTGCAGACAACTGTCTGCTACTGCGCATGCTCCGCAACAAATAGGGGAGACACCTTCTCATTTTTTTCTTTTGCACTTTCTCGACTTCTTTCAATTCCTGCTATTTCTGCATTACAATTCCTGTATTCGTTCCTCTTGCTTAACTGGACACAGCCTTGCGTTAAAATAAAATAAGTTTTTCGTGCGAACAATATCGAGAAAAAAATACCCTTACGAAAAAGAATTACTGCCGATTACATATAAATAAAGTCAGTAATATAAATATTACTGACAATCACATAAGAATATTATTAGGTATTACAGAAATCACTGAGAATATTACTGGCAATTACACAGAATGCCAGTAATTTTTTCGTATCACTGTCGCAATATATTACTGCCAGTAGTTCTTTTTCGTAAGGGTATCTCTTGGAATTAAATAAGATTTAAATGTATTTTTTTTTCGTCACTTTATTTTTTTTTACTACTAATTATCTAATATACAGTAGCTGTATGATATATATAAAAACGATATGCGCGCGAAAGATTAATCAGATCAAAAGAAACCTTACCTTAGCGCGTTTTACCGGCCTGAGAGGTAGAGGGCTGATGATACAGGGACTGTCTAACGGAGCGTCGAACGTGATCGCCCTCTTGGCATTAGGCTTCCGTTGTACGAACATAAAGTCGTGAGGAGTCTGGAAAGGATAGACACACTAGCTACAGCCGGCAAACAAAAGAAATAATTCTTAGAAAATAGAAAATAGAGATTTTACTTTGTACGAAAAAAAAAAAAAAAAAGAATTATGTTCGAGGGAATTACGTAAAAGTGGAGAAAAGCAATCAGTTATAAAACGAAATAAACGCAATGCAGAATTGTTCGAAACTTTGGTAGATTTACAACACTTTCATCCGAACGACACACTTGCGTTCCCACTTGCGTGTATCAACAATGACGCCAAGAAGAAGGAAAAACAATGAGAGAAAGAGAGGGGGGAAAAGAGAGAAAAAGAGGGGTCGGGACAAAAAAGAAATACTATCCACAATTTGTGTGGAATGACTAGGCCTTTACATTTTAGATACGCGCCGTTTCCGACCGGGTACTCCGCATAAATATCTTTGGATTGTTGATTTGAGGAAAGGTTGTGAGGATACTTTGGTACGCTAGACCAGGCCTGTATAAGGAAGATGGTTTGCAGTTAGTGTATATGCGATTAACATGCGATACAATTCAACGTATATTGTTACAAAAAAAAAAACAAAAATATAATATATTAACATATATGCAAGATGTCAACGACAATTGATGTAACATCTCTCGTAGTACAGGTAAAAAGATTAAGACTGAGTCGAAAAGTCCTACCCTATTTTTGCGAGATTCGCAACAGTTACCGAGAGATCTTATTAACAAAGATTCGCGAACAAGCGAGCATCGGGCTCTGTCTTACGCGCGTAAGACAGACAAGCATGCTTATTCGCGGATTCTTGTTAATTAAGATCTCGGTAACTGTTAAGAATTTCGCAGAATGATATAGGTCTTTTCGACTCAGCTTCAATCCTTCTATTTGCCTGCGAGAGATGTTACACCAATTGTTGGACACCCTGTATATTTATACATATTAATATTTATACATATTAGTATTTATGTTAATATGAGGCACACATATAAATAATATATAAATATGCGATGCTGTATAAATATTAATATAAATATAAATTAAAAAAAAAGAAAAAAAAAACATGCTTTCGTGCAGGCCTACATTTATAAATTTACTCTAAAGAAATTATATAAGAATGTTAATATAATTTAACCCTTTTACTGTAGCATTGCTTTTATTTTATACATAATTGTTGTCTTGTTGTTTTGCGAGAAACTAGCTTCATTATTGAGCAATGCTAATTAATAAGTTGATTTTGCATGCAAAATCTATGTACAAGCGCTCTCTCTCTCTCTCTCTCTCTCTCTCTCTCTCTCTCTCTCTCTCTCTCTCTCTCTCTCTTCTGTGTATGTGTGTGTAATATATACACACAAGATGAATAAATCTTATATGAATGTTGCAAAAATCAATTTGTGTGAGTCAACTAAGAATATATATTTGTGTGTGTGTGTGTACATTCATACACAGCAAAAGGGTTAAAATGGCGAAATAGGCTCAAAATTGTTTTGTGAATACGCGATTAATGGCATCCGTACAATCTACAAACAACGCTAAGTAACGCGATAATCATTGATTCGTTAATATTACAATGCAAGCTTATTCTTGACAGAATTAATAAGAGCGAAGCAAACAAAAACGAAACAATTTCGGTTATGCACCGATTAATATGTACACTAAATCATAATAATTTATTTTTCTCAAAGAAAGAGAAATGATCGAATTATATAAAATCGAAAGATAAATAATATATAAAGTATATATACGTAAAAATATATATATATATNTGTNNNATANANATATATATATNTNTANAAAANATATATATATATATATATATATATATATAAAATAAGTGAAGTACTTTTCTTCTCTACGATCCAAATCGAGCAACATAAAATTCTCATTAAACAACGTTCTCTTTCTTTCGCATTTCATAAAACGTAAATTATTAAAGATAAATAGTTTTTTTTTTTTTCGCAAATAATACAATTAATACTAATTAATGTACATATAAATAATTAACAGAACCAGAAACATATCACTGGGAATAAATTAATATAAATAATGTGTCGAGCGAATAATTAATATATGTTAATTGTTATATGCCATATCTAAAAGTAACAAGAACGATAATCTTTGGATTGGATGATATTAGAGACAACAGAAAGAGGGGATTCATGAACAGCCATGAAGAGATATAATTTACGAAATTATCGATATTTTTTCGCCTTGAATCAAACTAAACAAAAGAAATTAGAATACGAAGCAGCAATATGCATGAACAATGAGACAAAGAATACATGAGGCAAGAACTTAGAAAAATAGAAGCACAAAGACAGCTTTGAGAAGAAAGTTAGAAGGCCGGCTAGCGTGTCTAAGGACGATTGGTACGGGAATAATACCAGGATTGCTGGCTTTGGTTTTGTTTGTGACTTTGTTCTACCTTAGCGGGACTGGTTCCTGCCGTTAAAAAATTATCGTCTAGAGCCATAGTTGCTGGTGAGAATAGAGCAGAAGTGTCCAAACTTTTACTCTGTAAAAACAAATGTTTCATTACATTGTTCGTAAAAAAAACTTATTCGAACAATACATTAGTTAGTTGAATCTATATCGATCTGTACCGGCGTCTCTACAAGAAAACTTATATCGGAGTTGTCCTGACTTGACTGAGCCCAAGACTGACAGAGAGCTTTACGCGCTCGCTTTCCTCCGGGCGCGCTATTCTCTTTGCCTCTTCTTCGTACGGTGCCGTAACCAGAATCCTGGAAGATCGTATTCGAGCTTGTACCGGCAAGACTTTCACGATCGGTCTCTTGCTTGATTATCTCGTTCAACGCGTCCAAACGACTAGGCGTTGCGGGTAATTGAGCGGCGCCACTCCGCCGCTCAAACTCAGCAAGAGCGTTTTTAAAGGGCGTTGGCGTTCTTGGCGAATTACCGTCTGCAAGCAGTAGTTTGATCTTAAAGCAAATTCTTTCAAAGAGAATTTTCTGTAATATACGGGAGATAATCTTTCGTTGAAATCTTCACACGTACCGTGTTGATTTCGTCGAAACCCGGTAGGTTGCGGAGTCGTGAGCGGACCCGGACTACTTGCTTTGGGAGTACTCGCATGCACCCAGGACGTTTCCGGACTCAAATTATTGAAAAACTGCGACGGGCTGAACGGAAGTTGCTTAATGGGAGTTGAGGGAGTGATATTTTCCGTTTGCGAGTGCTGACCGATTATGAGGTAATCCGAATGATTCCCGCTATCGTTGGAGATGTTTGTCCTGTGCAAATACATGGTTTTACGTCTTCGTAATATAGGAGGCGGGCTGCTCTTTTCCTTCTCCAACTGATCCTCGGACATTTCCTCTAAATCGGGCATCGGCATCAATTTGATTTCCGAGCTTTTCGAACCGACAGTTTCGTTCTGCATTTGCTGCAGATTGTAATATCTTGCGTGTAATAAAAATATAAAAGTTAGAAATTTGTTTTGCTAAAAACAAAAAAATAATAATTACGTAATAATTCATTTTAGAAACGATTATGTACTTAGGAAACGAAATTGTCTCGGTTTTCGTTCGAGACAATCCTCTTTTTGACGGAGATTGCACACGTTTTTCACCGCCATGAGTACGCTGCTTATTTATCTGAGCGTTCTGATAATTTGTTGAAGTCTGCTGATGTTCCCAAGCTCTGACCCAATCAACCTGATTTATGTCGAAGGTTTGCGAGGTGCTGACCTCCGTCGAGCTAGTCAAGGCGGGTTTCGGCTGACTCTGACTGTCTTCCAGAAGAAGAGAAGCACTTTCCGCGTTTCTCTTCTTACCTCTACCTGCAAATTTTGTTACTTCAAGTTCCATCAAATTTGTTCAAATATTCCTAGTGAAAACACAATTACGTAGAATTTATATACATAGGATTTGTGAGGAGATTATGTCGTATTTTTTTTTTTTTTTTTATGACATATACTGTTATTTATATAACGCTGTATATAACGCGGAAACGCTTACCTTTGACCACAACTCTTCCTTCCTCACCTTCGTACTTCCTTCTCATCGTGCTATTCCAATGATTTTTTATTGCATTGTCAGTCCTGCCCGGTAAAAGTTTAGCAATTTTTGCCCATTGATTGCCAACCCTACGATGAGCCTCGACGATTATTTTATCTTCCGCCTCTGTCCACGCGGTCTTCTTTATTTCTGGATTCAAGTGATTGTGCCATCGCTCTCGGCACTGTTTACCGATACGACCCTTAAGATGTCGCGCGATTAAAGTCCATTTTTTCGGGCCGTATCTCTCCACAAGTTCAACCACTTTTTCATCTTCCTGTAACGTTCGTGAAAATAAAAACATTATTATATTTCTTAATAACAAATTTCGTAATAACGATACTTTGGAAATCAACAGTAACCGAAACATGTATTGTTCTTAATTAGATCAAACTAATTCTCCATCTCATTATGGGTTATTTTTTTTTTTTTTTTGCATTTTTTAATGATATTCAAGTATAATGTGTATTCTTTTGATGTGCTCTTTTGATGTGACTCGGTCAATAATTCAGCTTTATTGAAAAATATACAATCCGATATGTACTTAGTGTCGAAACGCGCGTCTTTTAACATATCATATTTATCCAATTTTCTACACATGTTTGTAATGAAACAAATTAATCTTTCTCTTATGCATTTCGAATAAGTCTTACAATATAAAAAGTATAATGGCCATTTGAAGCAAAAACACTGATGATAATGTGTGTATGACAGAAACGTTACTTTATTCAAGCAGGTAACATAATGTAGAACGTTTTCGACCTTAGATTAGGTCTTTATCAATATATGTGTGAATATGAAGTTCTTGAATTGAAAACTTTAACAAGTCACATGATTACAAAATACAATTATCAAAGTAACTGTTACTTTGATAATTGACATGTCGTCACTCCCTACGTATAATTACCATAAGTGTCACATATGGGATTTTCAGTTTATTGCATAGTGACACTCAGAAAGTCATGTTCTTTGTGGTCACCAAATATTAAAAAAAAATATTCATAAATAAGGTACAAATTTGAAACCGAAAGATCCCTAACTATAGGGAAACATATGAAGCTTTATACTACTTTAAACTGCTCTCCTCTAAAATTTGCGTTTTGGAGTTACGGGATTATACGTAGGGAGTGACGAATGTAATCATGTGACTTTTTAAAGTTTTCAATTCAAGAATTTCATATTCATATATTGACAAAGGCCTAATCTAAGGTCGAAAACGTTCTACATTATGTCGTCACTCCCTACGTATAATTACATAAGTGTCACATATGGGATTTTCAGTTTATTGCATAGTGACACTCAGAAAGTCATGTTCTTTGTGGTCACCAAGTATTAAAAAAAAATATTCATAAGTAAGGTAAAAATTTAAAACCGAAAGATCCCTTAACTAGGGAAACTATATGAAGCTTCAAACTTTTAAATTGCTCTCCTCTAAAATTTGCGTTTTGGAGTTACGGGATTATACGTAGGGAGTGACGATGTTACCTGCTTGAATAAAGTAACGTTTCTATCATACACACATTATCGTCAGTGTTTTTGCTTCAAATGGCCATTGTACTTTTTGTTTTTTAAAAAATTTTTGAAGCTTGCTACACTCCTCTTCTATCTTACAATATAAATAATTTTTATTGCAAGAAGGGTCATATTTTCAGACGGTATAGAAAAGGCGCAAGGAAGCAAGGAGAAAAACACCAACGAGAAACGCCATAATAGCACGTATGCGCACTCGATTTGCGGAGCCGCGTTACTTGCCCTTGGCTGTTGCCAAGTGCATTGGCACGGCGACGCAGAATCACCATGGTTCCCCGAGCTTTTTCTTATTGCATACTCCACTAGAGAGAGAGAGCGGCGGCGGCAAACGCCGAGATCCTTAGTGTGTGCACGCGGTTCGCCGTGTAGGCGGTACGCGCAGTGCTGTACGACGATAATACACCACCCAGCGGAATTCGGATATCAAATCTCTTACAATTTGTGATCATTCTGCTACTCTATTTACCGATAGAAACATTTGATCGTCGCGATAAAGACAAATGTTGAACTTCGAAATATAAAAAAACACGCTTAATTTCTTTATTTTTCTTCCACTGTGTGTGTGTGTGTGTGATTGTAATTATGCGCAATTGTATGCCGCATAAAACTATAAAATATACAAACGTACGACGCGTGTTAAGTACAGAATTATTGGAAATTTTAACAAAAATAAAAAAAAAAAAGAAACTCTTTGCCGGTGCGCGGTGTTTTACCCACCTCCTTTGTCCATGGGCCTTTGACTAACTCCGGGTTCACGACCTTCGCCCATCTCTGCTGGCACTGAACATCGCTTCGATCTGGAAAATGACTGGCTATAACATCCCATCGTGGACCGGTACCGAGCTGCTCCGCGGTGCTTACTAATTGCTTCAACAAAGCGTCCTGTAAGAAGGTAGAAGAGCAATGAGATCGCTTTAGATTGCGATATTACGTATATTAAATGCACGGAGATAAAGAACGGAAACGCGACATGTACTATATTACTATGTACGGATCGCGATCCGATCTTCGTGAGCGCTTTCTCACGTGAAGCCGCGCGGTGCACCCTATGAGGGTTTAACCGAGGCATCTGCCTCCCGAGGCGGCTTGGCTCTGACGCAACTCGTTGCAGAAAATACGAGGGGTGGACATTTTTTTAGGGATCCGCGCTTTCATTGTTCCCCCCTCAACTTAGTACGTAGAACGGATATATATATATATATATATGTGTGTGTGTGTGTATACATATATATACATATATAGTAACTACACAACTTATACGCATCCCTGTCCGAGTATAATAGTGAAACTACCGGAACCGATTTGAATTCAAAATCTTTCGCTAGGAAATTCTTGAAGGCATAAACAATTTACATAAAAAATAGAAGTTTATAGGAAATTAAAAATTAAATTTGCGAGAAGGAATTTAATAAAAATAAAATCTACACGATGTTAAGAAAATATTATTCTTTATCGCGCGAATGCCATGAAGAACGACACTTTATCGCATAAGTACGATTTAATTATTTTAACACAGTCTTACTTCTTCTTTGGTCCATCTTCCTTTGTTTATGTGTTTTCCTTGATTAGACGCGGTAGAGGGTATTTGATCTTGCACTTGATTTTGCGCTCGATTTTGCACTTGACTTTGTTCTTTATTGCATCGGCTAAAATATTCGCTATCGGATTCTCCACCGCTACTAGAATCGTAACACGATTGAGACCTGGAACACATGGAAGTAAACACATAATGACGTTAATATATCTAACGAGAAGAAAAGATTTTTTTTTCGGTGCCTCGGTAGCCGAATCGGGAAGGCTCCTGCACGGAATGCGGGAGGTTCGACTTCTGGCTGAGGTCTTTTTTGCAATGAAGTTTTTAATAAAAGGTTGTAAGTAGCTCAGTAAAATAAATAAATAAGAAAGTAAAATCAATGAGCCTTGAGTCCAGGGTGGTGGGTGATGGAATAAAAACAATGATTTACATGTGCACCGAAAAAATTATATTCTTGTAAGTAGAAGATTTTATACTTAAAAAATCTTCTTCAAGATTTTAGATGATATTCTTCTGAAATTAAGAATATA